ATAAATGCTGTGCTTCGCACCGCATTAATAATAATCGACGTAACAATCAGTATCGCGTCCTGCTTCGGTGAACGTGCGTCGAATACTATCAGAACATGGTCTAGGCTCTTCATTAATCGTGATATATTGAGTGACAATGTCGAAGTGAAATGTCTGTAGATGTAACATGTGACTGAGAATCTCATTGGCCAGATAATTACCATCAATAAATGATGCTCGACCTTGAACACAGAGAGATAGTGTAAGCTTTTCCATACATGACATTCGACAAAGCAGTGGCACAACTTGATTGTCAAATTCAAATGTTGGACGATATACATATAGCGAAAAACACTTGAGTTCACGTAAAATATTCTACAAAATACAAAAAAAGCATTGAGTAAAAATACGAAAAGAATTCATTATCCAATGATAGATTGAATCAATGAGTGACTATCCATAAAATATTTCAGTTAAATCTATTTAACACAAGTATGACTATAAAACCATGATCTGTACGTCATGTCCGGACTGATAATTGTTTTTTTTCGAATGAGCCTTCTATTGGATTGTAATCTAAGTTCTAAGAATATTTTTCTGTTCAACAAATTATTTTGCAAGACAGATATACATTTTCAATCATGAATATAACTGCCATTACTTTCAACAATCATCGGCCATTTTGTTGGCATTATTCAATCTCAAACCAGTCGATCGTGATTTGAAAAAGGAGGGTGAGGTCACATTTGACCTCATAGAAGTCTTCGTATTGTTTGTCCCACAAATGATTTCCAGTGGATCCAAATCAAATTGAATTGTGAAAGAGCAGGTGCTATACGGTACATGTCCAAGAACTTCCGATTCCATTCATCTAATTTTATTGTGACACAACTTGAAACATGAATAGGAAGAGTTTCATGAAATTAAATTTGCTTCATTTCTTTTTTTCGAAATACACTCCTTAGTTACTTTCTAAAATGTGGAATTGCACAGTTTCCAGCAAGATGACCGAAGATTATTGAAACTAATCACAATTATATTGTTAATTGATAATGGATATCTTTCTCGCAAAATTTCTTCCTGAACAGAAGACATTCTCAGAATTTATCTTACAACCCAATAGTTAGTTAATTACTAAGTCATTTTCAAACAACAGAACATCTACTAATTCAAAAATATGTGCATATTCGGACTTTTTTTTTCATTATAAATACTAAAGTATTCATATTTTTCTGCTAAAATAGTTTACGAAAAAACTGAACCATTTTGATATTCAACGGTATTCTTTTATATCTCATTTCCTGTACATGATCTGATGAAATTTTATTTGTATTAAATCATCTTATGAATCGATGAAGCAATGACGACTGAAATTCAAAAAGCTAAATGTTGAAAAACACTCAAACATATGATCTTGAACGGAACAGAACATGTGAAGAGTACTACATAAGAAATGAAAGCCATTGGTATAAACCTTGAAAAACAAAGATACGACAGTATTTATAAATTGTATTCAAGGTTTTTTTTGTATATTTATTAACTAGAACTAATCGTCATTTTTCTTTAGAACTTTGAATCTATTTTATACAGAATCTACAGTTAAAAGTAGAAAATACTGCACATATTCATAAGCGATATGACCAAGATTTATCATGAAAAACACTATTTCTGTTAAATTATTAACTAGTTATTCTGCATCGTATGTTCACTTTTTATATTTCGCCTTCAAAATATTTTTTCTAAAACTATTATAGAAGGGATTTATATGGCAAAATACTTTTCTTACGGTGTAGTTCTTTACGGAGTTATTTATATTCATTGATGTATCGGCAATATAATCAAGTGTGATAATAAATGTATGTAATTGACTAAGACGACCATCAAGTAAATAAAGACAATCGTCCAAATTGTGCATTTTGATGCGTATATAAACAATTCTCGACGAATAATACATAGGAAAAGATAAACCATTCAATAATGATCTTGAGAAAGGATAAATGTCATTTATATCTATGTTCAAATATTGAAGACTCGGTAACAAAGTAAAAATGTTGACGTAAAGATCAATGACTAAATTTTCCTTCGATTCATTCGAAATTTCATCACAGATAGTTACGACTAGATCTGAAATTTGGTATTTCAATGCCTGAATAAATATTGACTTTTCTAAAAGTATACAAGTGCATAGAGAATTCTTTTATTTCTTGGACATTAAGAGATCAAGTAACATACCTTTAAAGATATGAGAAGCAATATTGAGATCCATTTGGACGAGAATGAGCTTGCGTAAGTTAGGATAACTACTAGCATGAAGAACACGTTGAAAAATGGGCGCTTGAACAGCAAGACATTCTACGTTGTTATGAATTCGAGATAATATCTGCAAGCAAAATCGATCAAGTATTGCATTACTTTTCGAATTATTTAATTCATTTGATGATATTGTTATGAGATCGACAGCTCGAGTGAACGTAATATCACATGCCACATTCTCGAGTTTTTGATTAATTCCCACAAGAGAGTATAACATATCAATATTATTAAGTTTTTTGAAGATAGAAAGCAATACTTCGTCAGGTAGATCAACAATGTTCGTTATTGAATTATTCATATTCATCGTAATTCACAATGCTGTCAAGAAGAATACATATATATATAGCTGCGTTTCAATGAAGTTCATTGTGCATACGTGCCCGCTGCCATCGGCAACGACAATGTTGAAGTGTTACATTTAGTGTCCATTTAGAGCAGATAAAGCATAGTGAGTTAAGCGAATCAATATCAAATGCACTACATATGGCGCCCTCTAATAAAAAACCAAGAGGCCGGATCTAAAACTAACACTGATCGATAGAAAAAATCCTTCTCTATCGAACTACGTTTTTAGTTTTTCTCGAAAAAGTGTTTGGAACATGAAATCATCAAAACATTACGACCGATCCAAATTTAGATTATCAATATGGAGGTCATCATTACAATGGCAATACAAAATAGAGCCTTGCCTGTAGCTATAGCTATCCATCCTTTTACTAGCTTTTAGTCATTCGCATTTAACATATATTTTCAGTTTCAGCAATCATCTTGATCGATATATTTATTTTCGACATAAATATTTGCAATTGACAATCAAAGAAAAAAAAACATCAATAAATAATCACAAGCACAGGAACAGAAAAATAAAAGAATCTATTGCTTGTCTTGTTTCAGTTTTTTTTCTTTGGCTGTTTCTAAATCGAGGGTGTGGGTGTGGGTGTGGGTATGGGGTGTGGGTGTGGGTGTGGGTATGGGGTGTGGGTGTGGGCGTGTGTGGGTGTGGAGTCGGTGTTACTTAAGAGAAGATCCTCGCCCACACTCACGCACACCCACACCCTCAAAAATGTCCGCTCGACTTTTTAGTAATTTAAACTTAAGTTTCATATCTTGTGATAAAACTTGCCAAATTGAGTGGTTTTTGTGATGGAACTTGGTTTTCGAAACTGAAACTCGAGAAAACTATTAGAAAAAAACTTATATGTTTGAATATGATGGTTCCAAAAAATCCATGTGATCTCCTTAAATCTCATCTGAGAATGAATAAACTATAGTGTGTCTGATAGCCCATACATTGTTCTATCTAACGCGCTATAAATCAAAAAGTCGACAAATTTGACGAAAATTAATTTTTGGATGGGAGGAGCCTTAATCATCAAAACTACAGTGAAAGAAACAATTTTCTATTATAAAATTGTTCTTCTTATAGATACTCTGGCTGAAAAATGTTCCTACAGAAACAATTCATCATCATTAAATTAGACAATTAGATTTTATGGATAAAACTTGAGGATGGCATTCGTCTTATAAAAGATGAAAAGTCAATTATATTTTTTATTTATTTTAAATAATTAATATAATTCTGCAGTATTCGAATTCGAATCTTCACTAGTAAATCCACCAGTAACTAACACTTTTCCATTTAATAATACGGATGCTGTGTGATAATATCGTACATAATTCATCCTTTCAAAAGTTGTCCAATCTTCTGTTGATGGATTATATAATTCAACTGTATTTGTCATATTATGATGATATCCACCAGTAACTAATATTTTTTCATTTGTTAATACGGATGCTGTGTGGCCATATCGTGCATAACTCATACTACTAGTGATTGACCAATTTTCTATTGATGGATCATACAACTCAGCACTCTGTCGATAATCGTTACCATATCCACCAGTAACTAAAACTTTACCATTTTGTAAAACAGATTCTGTGTGTTCTTCTCGTCCATAATTCATGCTATCTGTATTTTTCCAAATGTTTGTTGACGGATCATATAACTCAGCACTATTTAAAAAAATCAGCATTACCAATCCCACCAGTAATTAAAATATTACTATTTTTTAAAACAGTCGCTGTGTGTGCACGTCGTGCATAATTCATGGGAGTTGTATATGTCCAAGTTTCTGTTGACGGATTGTATAGTTCAACTGTACTCGTAGGACTGGTATACGTATGTCCACCAACAATTTAAAATATTTCCATCTGGCAGTAGAGATGCTGTGTGGTTCCATCTTTTAGTATTCATACTAGTAGTATTATACCATCCTAGATAGAAACATTTAAATATATTCATTCTGAAAAGAATATATATTATTTAACATTCAAGCACACTTAATCGTATAGGAAAATTTTAATATTTTCTAAAAGTACAATTATTTTGTATCTTAAATACAAAAGGTTTTCAATATCTAATAGTCACCTAAAGTTTCCAGTCTTTTGATAAAGATTTTTATAACTAAATAATGATCAAATTAACTTTGTATTTTCTACATGTCATTATATTATATTAAATAATTAATAAAAGTTGGATTATATGTATTTAGTATTAACTATCATTGCTCTAAGAAAGCTTTCTCAATGAAGAACAAAGGGCAAAGAATTGTATTTAATCATCGTTCAAACTCATATTCTGTTTTTCAACTTTGGATTTGTTAATCAATTTGAGAATGAAATACAATCTCATGTTATCCAATTTCTATTCTCATAATATCTTTAACTTTTAATTGAAAAAAAATTCTACAAATTCTGAATAATTTTGTTAATCAATGAATTTTACTATATTTATATGAATAAACAATAGACAAAGATCAATACAAATATCTTTATAAATGAAATGACAATAATTGATAATGAATCAATAAAAACAATAATTTTTTTAATCATTATTATAAACATACAAATGACTATTTTATATGAAAAAAAAAGATAATCTGAATTATCTGAAAAATCATTCTGAATCAATGAAGTCATGAAAATTATTGAAAATTAAAAGAGAATATTGTGAAATCTATTAAATTCTTCATTGATAATGCTAAATTCATGTAATGGGTATCAAACAATGAATGTGACTTCTTTTGCATTTCTTCTTCTTTATCATCTAATTAATACGTTTTATTAGAAAACTGAGTACATCACAAGATGCAGTGTGAAAAACTCTACAATCCACAAAGTAAATTCTATTTTAATTGTATACTTTTTGTTTTAAAAATAGTTTATATATAAAAAAATGCTTTTAATGTAATTTATAGTTTTTCACAATGTATCTTATGGCATATTTGGCTTCTAAAATAAACGTACTTAATGATAAAAAAAGATAAACAAAAATCCTCTATACATGATGGAACACCTATTGTTTAATATTGCTGATTCTTTCATTTATAGAAGTACAAAGATGAATATGAAATACGAAAAAACAATGTCTATGACAGGATTTTTTTCATTTTTATGAAAATGTATCATCAATGTCAATTATTAATATATTGTGTTTGGAATTATTTAAACTAAACTCATTTTCTTCATTTACATTAATTTAGATTTATAAGAATTATCTTGAAAAATAAAATTCATTATTGAATTGAACGATTGTTTCTTTTAATGTAACTTACGAAGAAAGTTCTCCAGCTGGTCCCCAGCTTTTGACTATAAATAGATTCTGATAAGAACAGAAAACTGTAAAAATGCTCGTGAGTATAACTCTTCTCTTCTGAAATATAATTAAATGTTTATACGAAAAATTGGCTTCTTTATTATTTTTTTTTAAATTTTCGTTTCTTTTTATTTTACTGACGCAAAAGATAATTTTTTTCACAGTTGATATTGCAATAAACTATTTGCAGAATTAATTTTAATTTAATATCTTTTGAAGTTAAGAATATCAAATTTTTAAACTTACTCAGTCATATAAAATTAAACTCACATAAACGGAGACAGAAAAAGAGAATGAAAAAACAAAAATAACCATTCATACTTTTCGACCAATATGTATTATATAGCCATTAGTGAGAAGTACCCTCGTTCTAAATGAATCAGATGATCAGAACAAGTGATATTATAGCTATGCTATCTCCACAAACTTTAAGAAGCGATAATTTTAGAGAAATGATAAAAAGTCTATTGTTTTCGACATACATGTGACCATATCTTGGGAGGGAAGAGCCATGGGCACGAACGCTTTTAGGATTTTTCTTACTTCCACTGAAATCTACTTATACACGAAAGATGAAGATAAAAGATTGAAAACAATTGAGGAGCTTCCCTCGTTAATAAGCGTTAATTTAAAAACTTACTTTTCGATTCAACAGTAGTTTTAGTTATGTCTATAGTTGGAATTATTAAACTAAATTAATAACAATATACACATTCATAGAAGAAAAGAAATTTGGTAGGGTGTTAGCTTCTATTTTGGACGTTTATATTAGTATTGTCAAGCACTAATTGACCATTGATTTTAGTTTTTCTGGAACTTTTTGTGGCTTTTAGAACGCATTGGATTTTAATGGATAAAATATGAAACAAATTTGATTGAATTTGTATATCTAGTTTCTGATTGGTGTTCATCGTAGATTAACATTGATAATTGAATATAATTATAAAAATGAATTGGAATTGTGGTGTAATTAATATTTAAAATTTCAATAATATCTATCAATAATTCATAATGCAGGAATAGATCCACCTGTTTGGCGAACCGACGACCACCATCATTCCTTCGCGAAATTTTCTGATCTCGACAAAAGATTTGCCTAGCGTTTTATTAACTTCACTGTTAAAATATCATTTGATCATAGGTTTTATAGAGAAATGTTTGCTCATTCAGTATATATATTTTAGATTATATAGACTGCGAAAGAGCAAGCATTTCTTTACAAAATCTATGGTCAAATGATAATTTAACAGTGAAGACAATGGCATGATAAGCAAATCTTTTGCCGAGATCAGAAAACTTTTTTTTGATTCCGGGGTCTATCTCCAGTTCGAAAGCCGTTTTCTGACTACGACTGTTGTTCCTTCGGTAAACCAGCACCCCTCATTGATTTTCTGAATCTGCATCTGTAATAATGAAAAATACAAATATTTGTTTTTTAAATCGTTAAAATTTGATGATTGACATGAGTAATGATGCTACTTATATAGTGATGTCACAAATATTTTTTTGTACTTTTATTAAAACATCAATTAAATATTAGTTTTCTGACGATTTTTTTCTTCTATGAATGTGTATATTGTTATTAATTTAGTTTAATAATTCCAACTATAGACATAACTAAAACTACTGTTGAATCGAAAAGTAAGTTTTTAAATTAACGCTTAT